AGTGCCCAAAGCATTGCCCCTTGCTTTATCGACAAAGGCAAATATATAACTCAATTTCAAGATAATGCACTAGCAAAAGGTATGGTAGAACAAACCTCATTTTTTTTTGCACTAAAATATCTGGGTGTTACAGAATAGTGAAAGAAAAGATGGATTTGGGGGTTGTTTCTACATTTTGGATATTTTGAAGAATGCCATCATAAATATTAGGAACACGTTTCCTTATGAACTTATGTTTGCATTTCTCCTGATGCATAATTGAGAATGGAAGTTCTGGGGTATGTAGTAAACCTGTTTCACTTGTTTGAGTATCTGCCCAACTGTTTTCTACAGGGGCTGCACCATTTCCCCACCAGCTATGTAGGAATGTTCCTTTTCTCTACTTTCTCATAAACTTGTCTCTTTCTGTCATCTTTTTGTTTTTTAATTAAAGCCATCAGAGTGGGTATGAAGTGGTACCTCACTGGGGTTTTGATTTACATTTCCTTAATGGCCAATGACATCTTTCCTATGCTTCTTGGCTGTCAGTATGTCATCCTTGGAGAAGTATCTATTCCTTTGCCCATTCTTAACATTGGGTTGTTTGTCTTTTTATTGTTGAGTTGTGGGAGTTCTTAATGCCAATCTCTTAGGCAAATTGACAGAGTAAGAAAGCAGATTAGAGGTTACCCAGCGATGGGGGGTGGGGGAGGGCTTGGTGAATAAGGAAGGACCATTTAATGAGTATGAAGTGATTTATGGATTATGAAAAAGCTTGGGAACTATAAAGAGCAGATGTTTGCACAACATCGTGAACATGCTAAATACCACTGAATTGGGCACTCCAAGAAGCGAATGTATGTTTGGTGAATTGCACCTCAATAAAAGTTGCCCATAAAAATGAAAATAAAAACTTGTCAAAGATGAAAGGGTTAAATAAATGACTGTTAATACACATTGAGTCTTCTTACAAGATATCGCCACTTCTTCTACTATTCTATGTATTTTTTAAATTTATCATGTAACTAGCCTCTAGATAGGAAAATTTGTTTCCTATTTACGAAACACTGAGACCCTACCTGTGTGGACCACAGATAACTGGACCTTCTTCCTTTTCCATGTGCACAATCTGTTCATTCTTTAAGATCTAGGTCAAATTAGGCTGAAAAAACGGTCTCCAATGAGGTGCTATTTGGTTATGTCCCTAAACTGCTCAGAATTGGATAAATGGACTCCAGTTGTGTATCACGTCTAATAGAAGAATTGATGTTAGCTGCAGAGAGAAGAACTTGAAGTTTCAATGGTTTGACTCAATCAATATTTTTGACTCACTCTAAGTCTAATGCAATTTTTTAAAGAAGATGGACAAATTAGTAGACTGGAGGATAGAAGGGTGTGTACATGGACTGATTTGTGATAAAGTCTAATGAGATGCTAGAGAGTCAAGGTGATAAGTTTAGAGGTCATGACTCAGGGCAGAGTGTGCACAGAGAAGATCATTCTCTCCATACCTCCACATAACTCCATGCTTCTAAAACTAGTTTGTTGTTTGCTTTTGAAAAAAAGAAAGCATGAGTTTCAATTCTAGCCTTATGAGCTTGCACCAGTGACTTCACCTTGCTGAGCTTTGATTTTTCAATCTGATATTTATGTAAATTACCTGGATGTCAAGATGTATGATATGGAAGTTTAACAAAAATTAAGATTATAAAGAAATTCAGCGTAAGCCTGTAGCAACACAACATGCCTATAATCCCAGCGGCTCGGGAGGCTGAGGCAGGGAGATCACAAGTTCAAAGTCAGCCTCAGCATCTTAACCAGGAAGCTCTAAGCAACTTAGTGAGACCCTGTCTCTAAATAAAAAGGGCTGGGGATATGGCTCAGTGGTTAAACTCTCCTGGGTTCCATCCTTGGTAAGAAAAAAAAAGAGAGAAAGAGAGAGAGAGAGAGAGAAATGAATGAATTCAGCCTAATTGGATAGGGTGAATTGGACCAGCGGATAATATCTGAAGATATGAAAATAAAGCCATTGAGCAGCAGATTGAGGAGTCTCTATTTGATCCAATTCACATTAAAGAGCCACTCAGTGCCAGTTCTTTAACTTCACAGGATGGACCTATTCCTATGTCTGAAATAGATTATACTGGTAGCTGGAAGGATGGTGTGGGTTACCATATCAGACCAGCCATGTGGTTCAGAGGGGTCTGTCTCACGACCACAGTAAGCACCCCTGACCTCTCGATGCTCCTGAAAATCTACAAAATCACAAAAGTCACCTGAGAAAGGGGCTACCCGGCAGAGAGAGCTCTGCTCTAAGTTCATTAGGAGTTCCCCTAGAGCTTCCTACTGCGAGAGGAATTAGTTCTGCCCATGTTACCTCTTATCCTGGACGTATGGAAGGTGCATAGAAGGGTTATACTTCTTTACTCCATTGAGTAAGATGTAACTGTGCATCTGCTTTGACCAATGAAATTTAGCATACAGTGTGAAATATAGCATAGAGCAAATATAGCACAATATGGTGTGTCACTTCAGGCAGAACCTGTGACCATCAGTGTACGATATGCCACACTCCCAGCTAGATCTGCCCACACAGTGTCCACGCCAAGCCACGTAAGCCAAGGGAGGCTTTGCAGTTAAATCAGAACCGCGGATCCCACTCTGATATCATCTCACTCATTGGGCTAAAATATGCATAATGTTATAAGTGACTTGAGTACTTATGGATTTTTATGATTCAGAATTATTATGATGCTCAGTGATTTTGACTAGTTAATATACATGTCCATGGACTTTCTTACAATACACCCTCGCAAACATCCTTCTAGCCCAACACCAGTATGCACACTATTTCATACTTGTATGAATCTATGTTATCATTTTGTTCACACAAATGCCATCAGAAGATGCCAAGAACCAGCAATTATGAATGAAAGATGTGGTTCAGAATGCCAGGGACATGGTCTCCTTGAAGGGTTAGGAACTATCTATATTTTACCAGGGGAAAAAGTGTTCAGGGTCTGAGATGTGATGTCTGTGGGGTCAGACTGCCTGGCTGTGTGGCCTGGGAAAGTTATCTCATCTGTCTGAACCTCAGTTTCCTCATCTTAGAATGAAGGTGTCATTGAAAAAACAGGTTATGAGGGTCCCCCTGGGACAGTCAGTGGTAGGTTGGTGGCACCGAGTCTAATTCCAGAAAAATCATCCAACCCTCGTTAGCTGTGACTCTTGCTGTGACTATCCGAGTTATCTAGCAGAGCTGAGATGTGCTGCCTGGAGATTGTACAGGGACCATGGATGTCCATTGTCTCGTCTATTCTCATCACTATCACAGTACGGCATCCAGTAAATATTTCCAGTTGATTCATTGCTTTTAATTCTATGAAAAAGTTCGACTCTGTGATGCTTACTTAATTGTACGTGCCAGTTCGACTGGGCCGTAGGACAGGCGGCTACTTGTTTAAACATTATTTTGGGTATGTCTCAAAGATGGTTTGGGGATGAGATTCACATGTGAATCAGTAAAGTGAGGAAGGCAGACTGCTGTCCCTAAACGGGGTGAGCCTCATCTAATTCATGGAAGGCCTGAATAGGAGAGAGAGGCTGAGGAGGAAGTCTCTCTTCCAGTTCTCAGGCTGGGACATGGGTCTTCTCCCTTTGGATTCAGACTCAGACTCAATATCAGCCATTCTTGTTCTCAGGCCTTGGGGCATGAACTGGAGCTTCAGCTACATCATGGGCTTGAAAGAGTAAAAGAAATTGAAGTTAAAGTGTAAAAGACCGGGTATCGTAAAGTTTCTAAGCTGCAAAGCCTGAGTTAAAATGTAAAGGACCAGGTATTGTTAAGTTCCTATGCTACACCCAAAACCTGAAATTCCTGTAGCTGTTAGGACAATTCCCGGGGACTGCTCAGTAGATATTCCCCCTGACCATTTAGTTGTTTAATAACCTAGAACCCTGTGCAGCTTGGCATGTAGGCATCTCAGGGCCCAAACCAATCAGTTTGAATGTACCCCCCTTCTTAGGATTGACGTATCACTCCCGCCCGACCTGTTCCCGCCAATGGATGTACTAATCATGTTTAAGAATTGTTGTTTGATTTTCCCGCGCCTCATGATGATTTGCTCTGATGTATGCAAAGCCCCCACCCTCCCCAAAAAGTGTACTTAAGCACTGCTCAACCCCTGCTCGGGGCTCTGGGCCGCTCTCCCTTCTTGAGTGAGCACGGAGCCCCAGCGTGCTGGATTCTTCAATAAACCCCCTTCTGCGGTTGCATGAGTCGGTCTCTTGGTGGTCTCTTCCTCGGTCGTTCACCGGACCCTTACAGGCTCTCCTGACTCTGAATCTGTCAAGCTTCATAATGTACGAACCAACTCCTAATTCTCTCTCTTTTGCACACACGTACACACACACACACACACACACAATTGGTGCTTTATCTCCTGAGAACTCTAAATAACAGAGCTACTTCTGTCTTAGATATGAGGCTCTTTCTTTTCTAGAAATGAGGCTTTACATAAATATCTCCACTGGCCCATCCGCCGATGATTTGGCATGAAACGTAGACTCGGGGTAGGGTGAGTTTGTAAAATACTAAAAGGCTCCGTCTTTGAGTCCGAGGTTGCTGAAAGTGTGGAAAAGGCGATTGCTAAGGCTGCAGACACCTCCCAAACCTCAGGCAGGAAGGGCAGCCCTCCCCCGGGGGTTCTGAGGTGGGGGGTTGGGTAAGCCAGAGGTGGGAAGGTCATGAGAATCAAAGCCCAGCAGATGCAGAGAGCCAGGTGACCCGTCCTCAGGGAAGACCAGGCAGAGCACAATCAGCTGTACCCCCCAGTACTTTTGGGGTCTTCATTTCACAGTCTCATGTTTTTTAGATTCCCATTCGTAGACATGGCCCTTCCTTCGTCTTTTTTTTTTTGACACAGCATCTTTATTATTTATTATTTTTTATGTGATGCTGAGGATCGAATCCAGTGCCCCACAAGTATGAGACAAGTGCTTTACCACTGAGCTACTGAAGGACCCCAAGGCCCCAGGCCCAACATTAGGAAAACTAACCCCTGTGCCCTGAAGCTGCAAGATGTTCCATATAGATAACCCCGGAAGGGCCAAACTTGAGCAAACAGGGTAAAAACAGGAACTAAAAGGACAGGATGCAATTTTATGGTTTTTCTGAGAACTAAAGTGGGAAAACAAGTTTACCCCCCTAGGTGACTCAACTGCTGAATTCAGAGGGACCAATAGGAAGGCTGTTGCTGTGCTAAGCTAAGACCTAACCCACCTGTCCCCTATAAAAGATCTATACCCCAAAGCCCGGTGTGCCAGTTCACCGAAGCTCCGGCTGAGGTTTTGCTGTGCACCCGCAGGCGCCTGTGTGAGAATAAACGCCTCCTGCTTTTTGCAGCCAGTGTCTCGTGTGGTTCATTCCGGGTTTGGGATCTGTGGATATTTCATTGTGGAGGTCCCACCGAGATCCAAGATCCCGGTTCCGGTTCCGATCCCGGTCCCTATCCGGAGGACACCCGACATCACTGGGAGGTAAGCTGGCCAGCTCAAACTGACTGTCTTGTTGTCCTGTTGGTTATCTGTTCTTTGTTCCGCGCAGCGTCTGTAAGACTATATGATCCTAGGCATAGTCATTTAGTATTCTGAGTATTCTGAGGCAGTTCTGTCATTTAGTATTCTGAGGCAGCTTGAGAAGGAGTTGACGAACTCGGACTTCTCCCCTGCCACCCTGGGAGACGTCCCAGGGATCAGAAGGGTCCATTTCTTTGGGGCCCCCGGTGTTTCCGAGGGTTACACCATTTTTGTAGGCGACAAAGAAGTACAAACTTCTCCCAGGCCATCTGATTTGTTCGGTTTCCACCGAAGCCGCGCAGCGATCTCACTGTTTGGTTTCGTTTTTGTGTCATTGTGTCTGTCTCTCTATTTCCTCTCTGAGAATAACATGGGACAATCACTAACAACCCCTTTGAGCCTAACTCTAGATCATTGGCAAGACGTTCAAGATCGGGCAGACAACCTGTCCGTGGCAGTCAAAAAGAAAAAAATGGGTAACACTCTGTACCACGGAGTGGCCAATATTGGCCCACCCTCGAAGTTAAATGGCCCCCAGGAGAGTCCCTCCATCTCTCTCTCTAATTTGCAAAGTCAGAGATTGTCTTTCAGCCGGGCCGCATGGCCATCCAGATCATGGCTTTTAACCTTTCAGGACCTCTGCGAATCCCCTCCTGCATGGGTGGGATCCACGCAGTCCGCCGGGAGGATTCCACCCGGCGGTATGGCGGATCTGTCCCGTCCCTGTTCCTCCCGGCCCCTCCACCCCAGGAAGCGAACGGGTCTTCCTGGAGTCGGGCTGCTTGGAAATGCAGCCCAAGGCGGATGATAAATTCTATCTAAGGCTGAATACTGAGACTAGGGAAGCAATGTTTTCTTCCCCCCCCATAACCGGCTTGAGTGCAAATAGAGATGCCTGCTGGGGATTTAACAACTTTGACATCTCGCTTTGACTTTTCTCAAAGCCCTGTCCTCATTATTAAATTAATGTTAATTGGCTTTAGAGATGGGAACCAAATTTTCAGTCACAAATTTTGACACTCTCAAGGGGACTTTTAAGGAGTTCCCACTCTGCTTTCTTGGGGAAGCCTAGCACTCGAAACAACTGCAAGCAGAGGATGGACTTTTTGGGAGCTGGCTACTAACAAGTTAAAAAAAAAAATACCTAAACTAGAGGAACTGATCCTGTGGGTGAAAGATAGGATTAAGGGACTCCCAGCAGCTGCCAGAGCCATTTAGCTCTGGGGAGTTCCCTGGGTCCTTATCTACATCTTAAGGATCTGTTTACTTAACCTCTGTTTACTTAAAAAAAAGGGACACTGAATGCAGTAAAGCCAGTCACACTGAGACCCTTGATTTTACACCTATAGTTGCCCCTACGTGAAAACATCTGGTCCACTCATAGGAAAATCTATGGTGCCACTGATGGGAGTCATAATTAAATGAAAGTTCAAAACCTGGAGAGATATTTTCTTATCTGGTTGTCTAATTGTTTCTTAGGGATAATCTAGGTTAAATATGTGTCTAAAAAATAAATAATAATAATTTTTATTGTAACAATCTGGTATCTGAATGGGTTTCTAAAGCATTGCACTATCTTGCAGTTAAAAGTTGGGTTTAAACAATTGTTTAGTTTGATTTCAGATAGTTCATGATAGAAAACTTAAATACTTGGGATAAAAAATTTTAAAAGTTTCAATTTTGAACTGGGTAGCCTGAAAAAAAAAAAAAATTAAAAATAGATCCAAATATCTTTAATTCACGTGATTCAAACGGTTCAATTTAGATTGGGTAAACAGATAAAAGTAAAGATGTCCTCAAAATTAAGCTTATAAGTTTCTCTAGGTGTTCAAAAAGGCCCTAATAAAATGTTAACTCTGCTTAAATTTAAAAGTTTACAAGTATTGTTTCAAAATGTGAACAAAAGGAGGTTTATATAATTATGGTGTTATTAATGTGTTCATATCTTCCAGGTATACAAGTCTGTAAGGTAAAAGCTTCAAAAGAACATTATATCAAGCTGGTGTTCTAAAGTTGTATGGTAATTTTAGGCTTAAAAAAAAAATGTTAAAAATTCGATTATATCATTTGTGTTCTATAACTAAACTTGTTATCAATAAGATATGTACAGTTCCATGTTACTTTCTACTCTAAGATACAATTTATGTATTTTTAAGTTAATAAGAGCCTAATCTGTGTGAAGGTTTAATTGCAAAACACAAAAGTACATTACTACTTTTCTACAAGAAGTTAAAAGCTTTCAGCCTTTAATTCATATTTTAGGTGTGATATTATGTTGTGTTAGCTAATGTTCATGTAAACTTGAACAACAATTTATGTAAACTTTGTAAAATGATCAGCTTCAGAACTATAGTACTTGAGATTTATAAAGAGCCCTGCCTTACTTGAGATAAGGCTCTGTCCCATCTCACTACATGTGAAAATGGCTATAAAAAAAGGTAAGCCAGATTTCAGTACAGTTAAAGTTGTGTCCAAAAGTAGGTTTTTGCCAAGATTACTAGGATCTCAAACAGGAAATTATGATGTATAACCCTGCCAGAATTCAAGGTAGCTATTATATAAGCTAAATATGTTTTTACCCTAGTTAGTTTTGTTTTGTAGTTTGCTTATAGATGGTTTAAGGATTGCCTATTAATATTCTAAAGAGGTATTGCTTTAAGAACACAACCTGGGTCAACATAAGATAAAGAGTTATCACCTACAGGATAGAGAGATAGACATTAAAGCCCAGTGCTCTTAATATAAGGCTGTTAACTTATTTGCTGGATGTTTAAGATCAAGTTTTTAAAATTAGTTAAATTAAAAGGGCCAAGAAAACCAATATTTGGCTCTTGCCCTCTGAGTCAGTCTGAATCAGGGAATAGGGGACTTCTCCAAAGGGCTCAGCAACTCTAGGCCACATAACCTCCTGAGCAGGGAGATTAATGAGACCAGTGGAGGACAGAAAGCCAAATGGTGCATTTGCTGTAAAGAGGAGGGTCATTAAAAAAGGGAGACATCCCTGATGCTTCTGAGGGAAGCCATATGGTCAAACAAGGCCTGGACCCATCCTAGCGCAAATGGCACTAGCAGAACTGAAAAGCTGCTATGAAGTTCCCGAGGACTCCCAGGATAACTCAGCTGACTGTAAACAATAGGTAGAAACAAAAGTCAGTTTGACTTGCTTCATCTTAAACACTTAGCAAAGACAGTCAAAGCCAAAGCACAGCTGTTCCTGGACATCTTAAATGATAATAATAATTAAATGTAACTTCCATAAATAAATAGACTGGAGGCTACAAGAGAGATTCTTAGACAGAAATGCCTGATAACTGTCAAAGGAACTACTAAAATAGTTTTAGTCTAAAGCTTTTATTTCTAGACAACACAGGTAGATTTGATGTTTGCTAATATGGTTATCCAGCCCTAAGTAGCAGAATTAAAGATTTCTCTATTAGACACAGAGGAAAAACAAAAGGCTCTTTTGGAAGCTCGCAAAAATGTGCCGACGGGCGCCCCACCCAACTCACAAATTTGATTAACGAAGCTTTTCCTTTAACCCGGCCAAACTGGGACTATGCGACTGAAGCAGGTGAGAACCACCTACATCTCTATCGCCAGTTACTCATAGCGGGTCTCCATGGAGCAGGGGGGTCTCCATGGAGCAGGGCGACGGCCCACCAATTTGGCTCAGGTAAGACAGACTATCCAGGGGTCAGAGGAAACTCCGACAGCCTTCTTAGAGAAATTAAAAGAGACTTATCGGAGGTTTACTCCCTTTGATCCTGATAATGAGGACCAAAAAGGAAACATTTAATGGGCCTGCCTTCGTCTCCCAGGTAAGTCAGGCGGTAGCCAATACATTAAAAATTAATTAAAAATTACATTATGGTTATAGACCCCAAAGTTCAGGACAGGTAAAAAAGATAAATAGAACCATTAAGGAGACTTTAACTAAACTGACACTTGAAACTGGCACTAGAGACTGGGTACAACTCCTACCTTTAGCCTTGTATGGGGCCCAAAACACCCCAGGCCCACATGGACTAACCCCATTTAAAATCCTGTACGGTGCCCCACCTCCCGCTATTAACTTTTATAAAACTAAAACCTATGCCTCCCTCACCCCATCTATGCAGACTCATTTGCATGCTTTGCAATTGGTCCAGAACGAGGTCTGGAAGCCTCTAGCCGCAGCATACAAAGAGGAACTTAAAACCCCCTTGCTGCCACATCCCTTCAAGGTCGGAGATACCGTCTGGGTACGCAGGCACCAGAGCAGGAACCTCGAACTGCGGTGGAAAGGACCCTACACTATCCTGCTGACCACTCCTACTGCACTCAAAGTGGACGGCATCGCTGCTTAGATCCATGCTTCCCACGTGAAGACTGCACATCCACAGGAGTCCGCAGACACCTCTCCGGATCCAGAATGGAAGTTGCAACGTACCCAAAATCCGCTAAAGATAAGACTCACTCGCTGTTAATTTTTCTTGCTTTGTGCTGTGTCTTCCCCATATCAGTTAACCCCAACCAATCTGTGAGCCAGACATGACAAGTATTATCGGGGACAAGAAATATAATTTAAAAAAAAAAAAAAAAAAAAAACAGGATCCCCCACTTTCTGCCGACTCTTGCAGGAGCCTGAAATGGTACGGGGCAGGGCCATGTACCGCATTTGCCTGCAACCCCTTAAACATTACCTTTACTCAGGCAGGCAAAGCATCAAAAGATTAGATAAAAAAAAAAAACAATGGGGCCTGAAAATATATCATAAAACTGCCTATGACCCTGGGGTCCTATTCAAAATTAGATTAATAGTAAATACCAACCCCCAACCAGTATGCTGAGCCGTCAGCTGAAATAATGCTGGAATCCGAGCAGATGGGTCAATGGATATAAGATTATATCCATGATATAAAAAAAGGGGGGAATGAAGGACCCCAAGGCCCCAGGCCCAACATTAGGAAAACTAACCCCTGTGCCCTGAAGCTGCAAGATGTTCCATATAGATAACCCCGGAAGGGCCAAACTTGAGCAAACAGGGTAAAAACAGGAACTAAAAGGACAGGATGCAATTTTATGGTTTTTCTGAGAACTAAAGTGGGAAAACAAGTTTACCCCCCTAGGTGACTCAACTGCTGAATTCAGAGGGACCAATAGGAAGGCTGTTGCTGTGCTAAGCTAAGACCTAACCCACCTGTCCCCTATAAAAGATCTATACCCCAAAGCCCGGTGTGCCAGTTCACCGAAGCTCCGGCTGAGGTTTTGCTGTGCACCCGCAGGCGCCTGTGTGAGAATAAACGCCTCCTGCTTTTTGCAGCCAGTGTCTCGTGTGGTTCATTCCGGGTTTGGGATCTGTGGATATTTCACTACAGCCCGAGGCCTTGCCCTCCCTTCTTACTCTGGCCCCAAATAAAGCCCATGACAATCCCCTGGGAGTCCTCCTCTGGTACCCCAGGTTAAAGTTTTGTAGTGAAAACCGGCTGGGTTAGGTGGAAATCGGAGTCCCGACTCTGCATCCTGGCTCTCTCACTCTCTAGCTCTGTGACCTCTGTTGTTCTAAAGGTGAGGATGTGGCTTATTTTCGCTCTGAATGTTCTTCAGTCTCTCTGTTCATTCATTCCCTCATTCATTCATCAACTATTTACTGAAAACATATACAAGTCAACTACGATTTGCAAGAGAGTAGCAAGCATGTTGTATGCAGTGTATCAGGATAGATGACAAGTTCAAAAAGAAATTACAGTGGGATGCATTAAAGACTGACAGAAGTAGATGAACATATCCAACGTGATGTCCTTTCCTGAGAGAGGCTGGTTCAGGGGTGACCATGTGCACTGAGAGTTGGTTTGATGAAGCCACAGGAGGAGAATATCCCAATAATCCTTGCAGAGGCTTGGAATTAAAAGACCATATGGCGACTTGTAGGGAGTGAAAGGATTTCATTGGGTTGGGAATAGTGATGGAGACAGAAGGCACACACTGAAGAAGGAAAGACGAGTTGGATCACCCAGGGTTTTGCATGCCATATTAGGATTCTGCAATATGCAGATCTCCCCATTGATGGTGAGGGTCACCCTTTTCGCTACTTCACTAGCCTCCTGAATTTTCTTATGCCCAAGAGAAACCACAGATGTGAGCCCATCCATTACTAGAACCCTGTGTCTTTTGTACCTTCTATTTCCTCCCCAAACGTCTCTGGCAATTGCTGTGTCTGGGCTCCGTCCAGCTCTCCTGGCAAAAGACAGGAACACTCTTACATCCTTCCAGCCTGGGCTCAGATCATGCCTTCTCCCCTCCAGAAAGAATCGCTCATTGAGACATCTCATTTTACAGAGCATAGTTTTGGAGGGAGGAAAAAAAAATGTCACCCCAGAAGCGAGTGGGAAATCATTCACTTCTGGAGAGATGGAAATGTCAAGACAGATGGATCAGGACTCACACGGGAGTCCTGGGCGGCTCCCTCAGAAAGCCAGAACCCTCTTCTCCGCAGCCTGCCTCAAGGTCATGCGGGTTTGGAAGTTGGCCAACACTCGCCCCTGGGATTCTTCTCACCTCCAAGCTACTTCTCAAGCTGCTTCCTCCGTCTCCCTCTCCTCATGCCCCTGGATGACTCTTACATATCCTCCGGCTCAAATGTCACTTCTCTGAAGGTCTTCTGAACCCAAGGGCGGCCCGGATGAGGCTACTCTGTGCCTCCAGAGCACATTGAATAGGACTTTACCAAAATAATGATAATGCAATTTGTAATTATTTTTTTTCTATTTGTTTTAGCTTCTTGTCTACCAGACCTACATATTCATGATGGCAGGGTAAATATATATCTTTTTTTTTCTTTCTTTTTTGGTCAGCATCTGACTTAGCACTTGGCAAATAGATAATGCTTAGTAATCTGAAGGAATGGTGCATGAATAAATGAATGAATGGATTCTGGGGCCTGAAGACTCCCCTTGTGAAGCCCCCTACCCTCTATTAGCCTTGCTTCTTGAGGGGGAGGGTACAGGGGATTGAACTCAGGGGCACTCGACCACTGAGTCACATCCCCAGCCCTATTTTGTATTTTATTTAGAGACAGGGTCTCACTGAGTGGCTTAGTGCCTCGATTTTGCTGAGGCTGGCTTTGAACTCGTGATCCTCCTGCCTCAGCTTCCAGAGCAGCTGGGATTATAGGTGTGTGCCACCGTGCCCGGCCCAACCTTGGTTTTTATGTGTGTGTGATTCTGGGGATGGAACCCAGGTCCTCATGCATGACCATCCTCACTTTTAAAAGCTCCAGTGCCTAGAATAATCACATGTCAGAAATAGAAGATACCCTATAATGAGAAGTCAGAGTCTCCCAAGTTTGGTGGATGGGATTGCTTCCTTCCTAAAGAAGAACTTATCTGACTCTATGGGTAGGTGAGGACAGAGGGAGAATGTATTGTTTAAATGAGCCCAGGCCAAGCCAGGTGAAGTGGTACACACCTGTAACCCCAACAACTTGGGAGGCTGAGGCAGGAGGATGTCAAGTTGGAGGCAAGCCTCCACAATTTAGTGAGGCCCTCAGCAACTTAGCAAGAATCTATCTCAAAATTAAAAAATAAAAAGGGTTGGGGATGTGGCTGAGTGGTTAAGCACCCCTGGATTCCATCTCTGTCTAAAAAGCAAAAACAATCAAAAAGCCATAGGCCCTGCTTTGTTGAATGGCAAAGAGAGGAGGCCAGGAATTTGAGATGGTTCCACAGGAATTGTATAGAAGCTGCCACCTATTGGAGTCTTGCATCTCTGTCCCTGCAAAGAGGAACAAAAGAGATGAGAAATTCTGATGCAGTTTCACCTTCCAACCTTCCACCGGTGGCCAAATGACCTGCCACCCGTCTCTGTGACCACCTTGCCTGATGAGTGTCTCCCTGCAGACGAGGCAACTCCTTGGTTAAGCAAGGATCCTTCAGCCTCAGCACCAGCCACAAGCTGGAGGAGAGTTGGCTGCAGGGATGACACTGTGCCCTGCTGCCCACCTGACCTCCACTTCCTCCACCCCTTCCCCAAGTTCTGACCACGGAGATTGTCTGCAAACATCGTCCCATTCCCCTGGGGAGGAGCACATTGCTCTGTTAAGAATCACTGACTCAGAACCATCCTATCAACAGAACGTGGGCATATACCATTTTTATTTTTCGGGGTGGGGGTGGGGATCATTTCTCCCCCGTTCTTCCAGAATATTTTGTTTAGGTGTCGTGGATTTCATCAATGAGACCCGGTGAGAGCCATCTTTGAAACATTCAGGGACAGAATCCCTCTTTCTGCAAGAGGTTCAGAGACAGCCATACGTCTGGGGCGATTGGACCCATCTTGCCAAAGTTCACCCATGATGGGCCCGAGGTAGAGGAAAACGGCGTCAGCATCATCGGATGCCTGGAGATGTTTTCTGAGCCCTTTAAGCTGAACCCACATTTGAGTTATTCCTATCTCTTTTGTCCACAGTCCATTTGGGTTGAATCTCTCTCAGTTGCAACAGGAAAAAAGACAAGTTTTTTTTTCTTTTCCGTATGTATTTTCCAACTCCTAGTTTGTCCTCAAAGTAACAGGAGAATTTTCTTTTTCACAATTCACCTTCGCTGGTTTCTAACGGTATTGAAACAGGTGCATTTGCCAAAAGTTCATGCTCCCTGACCCCCGGGCTTCCATTCCATGGGTCTCCGTTTTTCCATAATTCTCTCAGAAAGATCTCTGGGCAGCACAGAGTTGTCTGTGCCTCTTTTCTGTGTAATGGTTTTTGATAGCTTTGATTACCTACAAGATAGGTCCTCACTCTGCAGGCTGGAGCTCGGGAACTTCACAGTGTGGCCTCGGATGACACTGGGGCTTTAGTGTTGATTGTAAACCCTTTCCTGTGATCCCCCTCGGGCATCTCTGAGACCCCAGCACACTGCACAAAGCAGGCACAGTGGCAAACCTCCAGGGAGTGTTTGTTGAGAGGATGAATAGACCAGAAGGACTGGACACTCCCGCTCCGTGCGAGGAAGCTGCTTCCCTCCAGAAAGGTCACTAGATTTCTTCTCTTGGCTGAATGCAGTTCCCCTGGTGTGATAATGAGCAGAAGCAGAACTAGCTGTATCCACACCAAATCCTGCGTCCATCAGGCTAAAAGGAGGACTCCAACTGTTGTCCTCCCCCACCCCCTGTAAAGACCAGCCTGGGATTCAAACAGCTAAAAAAGACCCCGAGGACCCATTACCCAGCCATCAGCTCTGGGCCCCAGAACATCCTGCGACAATCTCATTTACGGAATTTACGGCCTACTTGTTTGATTCAGGCACCTAATTTGCCCTCCTCCGTGCAAAAGCACACACAGATTATTTTTCTCTGTTTGCTGCCTTTCGGGCTCTGGAACAATATAGTCCAGCTGAACCCATCCGTAGGGCCGAAGAAAAGAATAACCAAAGGATGAAAGAATGCAATTTGGAAATCATCAAGAAGTTGAACTTCAGATGCAATCCAACTCCGGTTCAGACCCTGACTACACCCCTTTCGGTCATGTGACTGTAGATGAGTTTCTTATCAGATTCCATTTCTCTACTTATGAAATGGTAATGGGTGTATACAGTTCTGTTATGAAGATGAATATCTGAGTAAATGTATGTCTGTATACATATATGTGTATATAGACTCAAAATGCATATAAATGTGTTTATACAGAGTTCTGAGCACAGAACAAGGTATAAGTATATATGTTATAAGTATATATGTATATCTATTGCATATATATATATATATATATATATATTATATATGTGCTTGATTTTTTTAAAATCACAGACTGAGCATGACATTAGCTATTTGCACAATGTTTCTCATTTAAATCTCGCCCTCCCGACCCCCTCTGACAGAGCTGAGACTCCAATTTCCATTTGACAGAAGAAAAAAGGTTAAAAGAGCTTCCAAATTCAAAGGTTAAGAGGAAGCTCAAATGTCCTCACCTAGCAGGTGCGAAAGTCAGAATCCAGGGTAGCAAGGCAGAGCTGAAGGCTCTGTTCCAGCCACCAGAACATCCTACAGTGGGACACTCCTGCCTCTGCAGGAAGACAAGCAGATTTTAGGATGATCCTATTTACATTGTAATTATTATGTATCTGCTTTCATGCCTCTTGGAAAACACATATGAAAATGTAACCCATCTGTTGAAAGTGTGATGCGTGACTCTTGAGCTTGCTACGAGACTAAGAGGGGCATCAAAGTAAAGGAGTGGGGGAGTCTATCGAGATTTAGGGGAAAATCTCAGTAGTTTAGTGATCTCGAGGCAGCTCTACCACTTACCTACCCTGTGACCTTGGACCAGT